CAACTTGAGGGGGAGTGTTGAAGATTAGTTAGTTTTATGATGTTTTTCTGAGTAGATGTTTTATGTTAGTTGTTAGATAGGAGGTGGGGACCACAATAGTTATGTAAGTCCAAATTTTATTGTGTTTTGAGTGTTATAAATGTTGTTTTATGTTTTGCCTCCCTATAAGGGCATAGTTGTCTTTGTACTGTTCTATTATTTTAGTATAAATAATAAGTGAAGGGGGCGGCCAGAGGATTGCTCTCTTTTCTTTCAACTTCTCTTCTTCTCTTCTTCTCCTTCTCTCTTCCTTCACTCTTCAAGAAACCACTTTCTTTCATATTTTTTAATTCAGCAGATTTCTACTGAAACAATTACAAGGTTATGTTGAACCAATTGGTCCTTTGTGGTAGACTAGCCCCATCTATCTACCCTTCCCCCCTCCCCCCTCCAGCCTTTTGAAATTACATACAGGAGACCCGTCCCCAGTACAACTGATGTTTATGAACTCATTGTCTAGCTAATATATCAACTAGACCATTGGCCAATCTCTTTACCTAACTGAATGATGCAACTGTCTTCCTTGCCAAACACATCACCTGTCTTACAATGTAACTGTACATCCACCACAAAGTCATTGTATTTGAGGGATTTTGCCGATCTTAAACCTTGAAGAATTGCTAGCACGACCTTAAGAGTCTCCCTCCACCATAAAGTCATTGTAGTTGAGGGATTTTGCCAATCTTAAACCTTGAACAATTGCTAACACGACCTTAAGAGTCTCCCTCCACCACAAAGTCATTGTAGCTGAGGGATTTTCCCAATCTTAAATCTCAAAGAATTGCTAACACCTCAGCCCTAGTTGGGTTACCGGAACCAATAGGGCCAGAATATATAGTACGGTATCGTGACAATCCTAGAACACACCTCTAATTCTAGAGTGCCCTGGGTTACCTATACTACAGCAATCAAAATTTAACTTGATGGATCCAATATCAGGCAGAGACCAAACTGACTTGATATAAGGAATATGGCTGCACCTCAGAGCCAGGAGCACCACAGACAAACTAAGATCTATCTATTCCTTCCCTACAAAGAAAATTGAAAGGTGATTATTGATTATGGAACATTTGCAGTAACACTTAAAATTTATAGCTCATATATTTACAGTAACAGACAAGAATTTGGTAAAACATATCAATATTCCTTAACTATTCCATCCATAATGATGAATCAAATGTTTGAATATGTTGAGATGCAGGAATAAAAATGCTTTATTAGAACTAAGGACTTGAGAGGTAGGATGAAACTAACCTTATTTAAATCCAGAAAGAGAGAAAGAGAGAGAGAGAGAGAGAGAGAGAGAGAGAGAGAGGGGAATAGCATGAACAAGGTCAAAGGAAATGGAGATGGTTGTGTGCAACTGACTTCAATTTATTTTATATGCAACAGAGATATTTCATTAATGAGACTGCCACACTAAAAAAAAAACAGAGAAGCTGGCCAAAACTTTTACAAGGGAATAAAAAATGTTACAAACTTAACCCATACAAAGGTATTGCAAATACAAAAAGAGAGATTACAGATTAGAGCCTGCCCTGGACATCCCCATTCAAGTTGAATCCTTGCCACTCCTGCCTTGGCCAATGAGTCTTCAAACCGATTAGCACCTCTAGCACCAGCTGAATACTTGAATGAGCTATTCAATATGGTACCTAAGAACCATGCCTGTCTCATCAACAACCTAAAATTCCAAGGAATCATAACTTGACTTCGCATCCAGAAAATTATGTTTGACAGATTGACAGACTCCCTCAACCTCCACATTCTTCAAATCCCTCATACTCATCAAATTTAGCCCCTGAATCAAGGCATGTAATTCAGTCAAGGAATTTTCAACACCAATAGGGTCAGAAAAGCTAAGTAGAAAGAGTCCATTGTGATCCCTGACTACACCCTCAATACCTGAAGCTCCCGGATTACCTAGGCCACACCCATCAAAAATAAACTTAATTCTCCCTTCTGAAATAAAATAGTCAGACAACTATACTAGTTGAAATACTCATAAAACAGCATCTAAGAACTGATTGTGTAAAAAAAAATAGGGATCAAGTCAAAAGTCAAAAGTCAAAACTACAATAATAAGCCTTAGATATTGTTTAGCTTGGATTCCAGTTCATAAATATAACTCAGCATTTTGCCACTTAATAAATTGTTGCCATAGCTTTAGCAAGAACATGTTCGCCATGCATTAAGAACAAAAGCTCTGAAAACGGGTATATGCAAAAAATAAAGCAGGATAACAAAATTAGCATCTGAATACCACATTAGCTTACCTAAATCTTCAGATCTAACATTTAGGCCACCCTCAACAATCAAAACATCTGCTTTAGGTAACCGTGTCTCAGACAATGACTTGGTGTTAGAACCAGATTGGCAACCCTCAAATGGTTTTGTACACTCAACACTACTGCTAGTTCCCTCTGAACTCTTAGGTTCTCCATTTTCAGTAATAGGTGTTGTCTGAGAAACAATGCATATTGATTTATCTGTACTTCTTAAAGAACACCCAGAAGACATATTCTTCATTGAAACTTCTGTATCTTGAGGCCCCTTGCATGTAGACATGGGAGAAATTTCTATCCTGCCATGGTTTCTATTGGAATTACCAGAGGATGTCACCCATGTAAACTGTAAATTGTGTCCCTTCCAGCATTTGCCATTTGCAAATGCCTTCTCAGCTGAATGACGTGTTGTGAAAGTTATATGAACAGAACAATTCTTGGATGGACCCAATCCATCAGTATGAGAACCTAGATCTTCTAGCTCAACAGCAGACAGATCACTGAATGATGAAAAGTGCTCCTTCAAAACAGCAACCTGGAAAATGTAAAGATGTTAGCTCCAGTCACATGATCCTGGCATATCCAATCAGGAACATGATAAACCAGTGTACAGACCAAAAAAACGCAACTTTTTTTAATGACAATGAAAACGACACTGGTTCTACAGCATTTTTCATGAAAGGATTTTAAAATTATTGTCAAGTAATACAAAATGGTGATTGCCAATAAGCACAAAGTAGGGAGAGGCAAAACAACCTAGGAGACACCCATAAACCCCCTTTGAATTGCAAATAAAAGATATGTCAATCCCACTACACAAAAGCACCCAAACCTTCTAGAAAGTGTCCACATTCCATTGTGTCCATGCTTCTATTGGTAGAACAGAAGTTACACATAATGTAAAAGGCTTTCTTCTTTCCTGAAACATAAAACCAATTCACACACACACACACACCCCCCCCTAGAAAGTGACCACATTTCATTGTGTTGATGCTTCTATTGGTAGAACAGGAGTTACACATAATGTAAAAGGCTTCCTTCTTTCTTGAAACATAAAGTCAATTACGCACACAGAAAGAGAGAGAGAGAGAGTTACATTTGCAAAATCAGCTGGTAAGGGCGGAAGAATTCTAAATGTTGTAGGGCGGTTATCCAATTTGAACCTGTTCACAATAAAGGAAGACCCTACTGGCGCAGGACAACTTGGCTGCTTCAAACTCTTAGGTGACCGTAGTACCACAGCAGAACTTGTTTTGGAATTGGGAGATGCACTATTATCCCCACAATTATCAATGGTCTTCTCGAGTGGTGTTTGTGATCCAGCAGTATAAGGATTTAAGGACCTTGGTGTTGCAGTTTTGCTAGAAGGGGTTACTGACCCCACCTTATGTCTCTTGAGAACATGCTTAGCATCTGCATCACCCTTGACTGTTGCAGCCTGCACAAATGCCAATTGTTTAGTTTTTTCCTGTAGAAAATTAAAGGGGCACTTTACGTCCAGCTTATTTAGGGTGCGTTTGCCAATTTTTTTAAACAAAACAACTCCACATCAGCAAAATCATATTGGTTTTGCTGCTGTAGCAATTATTTTTGTTTTGAAAAACAAACCATACATATCGGCAAATACCCCCCTTAACTTATAGCAAAGTTTTCAAGGAACCAAGGTGAGGCTAGGTAACAGGGGGGCACCTTGTCACCAAGTCACCTAGTTGATGGATCTTTTTAAATAAAAACCATGAATCCTGGGGTAATTCCCTAGGTTCTATAAAATTATCGAAAAAAACCCCTAGGTTCTATAAAATTATCGAAAAAAACCCCTAGGTTATATAGCAATCAGCAACCATTTTTCATTAGTAATTATCTATAATCTTCACAAAAAATATAAACTTTGTATCAAAACATAGAGAATCAACATATTCATGAGAAGAAAGTTCAGAAAGAAAGGGCACATCCATTTTCCAGTAAATGGGGAAAAGTAAGCCAGTGGGTTCCATGGAAACAAAAGAAATCTGTATTCGTGTTTCGGTATTAGCGGGTCCTACGGAAAATAGCAATTCCCAAGCAGCTCATTTACCTGGGTAAGTAATACCCTCCTGAGACTTGGGTAAATCACTTTCCCATCTGCACAGAAATTTGCTAACACATGATGGGACTATATTGTCCGTTCAATAATAACACTTTTATGGATAAAATGGTCATTGTATAACTTTACCTAGGAAACAAAAGAACACTGGTAAGTACACTTATCCGGGCAAGTGTTTCCCAGGTAATATTTGCCTGAGTAAGTGAATTTACCCAGGTAAATGACTTACTGTTTAAAGAACGAGGCCAAAAAGAAAACCAGAAAATATAGGGGCTGAGACCCTGTTTTTGTCCTAGGAAAAGAAGAAACCAAGGAGTGGAAGAAGAAGAAGAAGATTTTTAAGTTTTTCCTTGCTTAATGTTCAAGTTTTGAAGTCTTCAAGGGTCCAAGACAGCATACATGATACACCAACATGTCTGTTGACTGAACCCTAACAAACAAGAAAATAATAAAAAGAAATAAGTATATAAACCTACAAAATGAATAATTTAGTTTAATAATGCCTATTTTATTTATTATAATCTCAAAAAATAAAGAATATAAAAATATATATTTCATAGTGCCATGTACAAAATAGCTAGGAACTTAAATGAGGTGACCCTCCATGGACACCTTGCCGACATCGCCTTGACAACTATGATTTACAATTTCATCTTCATGATATAGACAATTATTTTTGGCTGAAAAGATTTAAACATAAAGAAGAAACCTACATGACATGGACTCAAACTTCCATCATCAAATTGTAGTATGAGTTACTATGAGCCAAAGGAGGGTAAATCAGAGTATGAAATCAGTGATTGGCAATTTTTCAGACACTAAAAAAGGAGCTCCTGAAACATGTGGACACTGACACCTGACATGACACTTGAGGAGACTCTTATGTTTGTCACACCTGTAATATGTGACTAAATAAGTTCAAATTCTTGTAGTAAAACCTATGCATGAATGGTAAATTTTGTAATACTTGGTAATTTAGTATAAACGATCTTCATTTGTTTAGTGTTGTTTGCACTGATTTGGGGCCATTACTTGGTCTAATGGTAAAATCTCAGGCTGGCAAGTATGAGAATGTGGGTTCAAGTCTAAGAGCAGCCACTTTGTGCAAGAAAAATGCCGAAGGTTAGGATCATATCCTTTCTATCCCTCCCAAAACCCAGATAGCCAGGACTAGGGCTGCAAATCAGGTTGCCCAACTAAAAGAATTTCAGCTACATCAGTGGATTAGAGTTTGGGCCCATTGATAATTTAACAACATAGTTGTCAAGGCAACACCTAGGCGACAAGGCGCCCTTGGAGGCTCATCTCACCTAATCACCAAGCACTTGTCTATAGCGTGTTATAAAAAACTTTTATATTCTTAATTTTTTGAGGTTATAATTATAAAACAGACATTTTAAACTAAAATATTCATTTTGTGTGTTTATATACTAATTTCTTTTTATCATTTTCTTATTTGTTAGGGTTTAATCAATACAAACATTGTTAAATGCTGTATTGAACCCTCAAAGACTTCAAAACCTGAACAAATAAGTAAGAAAGAACTTAAAATGTTGTCCAATCAACACATTTTCTTCTTTTTCTTTACTAATTTTGTGTGTTTATATACTAATTTCTTCTTTTCCTATAACAGAAATAGGGGTTCAGCCCCTATATTTTTTAATTTTCTTTTCTTTCTTTTCTTCTCATGAATATGTTGCAATATGTTGATTTTCTATACTTTAACATGAAGTTTATACTTTTCTTTTGAAAATTATGGATATTTATTAAGGAAATATGATTATGGAGCCTAGGGAACTACCCTAGGATACATGTTTTTACTTAAAAGAAATCCATCGCCTAGGCAACTAGGCGACAAGGCGCCCCCTGTTGCCTAGCCTCGCCTTGGCACCTTGAAAACTATGCTTAACAAATTCCCAACCCAACCCAGGTTGCACCCCTAGCTGGGACCAACATTGGGTGATGCCCTTCATCATCAAAAGGATATAACCTAAAACTGAAGTGTGAAGACCCAATATCCTATTTTTTCCAGGCTAGTAGAGTTCAATGCCTCATACCTACGTTGGGTTCTGACTCTGGTACCAATATCCATGTATTATAGATTATTCAGAGCACTGAAAATCAATTTCATTTTTTATCTTTATATAATTCATGATCAGATCTTGAAAATAGATCAAATTCTGCAAGACACTTCTACCTTAAAATTAACTTACATTGAGATTGAAGATAAAAAGTGCCAACACTAATCAAGGTGAGTCCGTGATTATATAAGAGTTCGGCAAAAGTTTTAGTACTAGATGCCAACCCCTTATAGTTGGGGCAAGACTTAGATGAACATTAACCAAGGTAAGTCAAGCTCAAAACCTGGGGTCAAATCCCACCACCATTAACTAGTGCCAATTAACTATTCAGTTTCCTATGCAACAAACAAAACTGACCCATCCCAGCAAGTACGTGTTTATAGTTTACTTCTACATTTAAAGCAGCAATTAGTAGCATCTCTTTATACACCTCCAAAAATGGAATAACATCCATGCTCAGATAAAGAAACACCAAAGGATTACATATTTACAGACGGAAAAAAAAAAAACAAAAGAAGTTAATTATTATACGTTTCCCGATCATGTGATCTATCAAAAATTGAACAAAAGAAGGACAAAAGCTGAACAACTGTCTTACTTGTTTCTCAAGTTTATCCAACTGGCAGCGGAAGTCATTCCGCTTTTGGGCCAGCATTTCCTGCTTTATACGAAGTTCTTCTTTCAAAAGCTCCAAACTCTCCAGTTTCTTTTGCAGAGGAGCTGTAGCTTTGGCACCATTTGTTAAACCAGGTTTAGGGTGAACAGAGGCTCCCATAGGAACATCAGAAGCCGGAGAAACACTAGGCTTTGGAAGTGCAGATGGGAGATTTTCTTTTCCTCTTTCAGCAATAGATGAAAGAGGTGAAGCAGAAGGAGCTGTCACACCATGGGGTAAAGCAGATAATGTGGTTCCACCACTTATAGCATCATCAGGGATGTTATCTCGGTTAGCCCACCATAACTTGATAAAACGGTTACCCATTACAGCATCAGGTGCCTTTAAAGCAGCTTCTGCCTCCTCTCGTCTAGAGAATTGCACAAAAGCTTTTTCACTATTCATTGGAATATAAATGTCAAAAACCTCCCCAAATTTTTGGAAATGTGAAAAAAGGGCCTCCCTCTTGTTACTTTTTTGGGGAATACAATTTACAAAAAGAGTACGTGAAGCTTTATGAGATGGTCGCCCAACTTTACATACAGGATAACTTTGCTTCGCTGAAGTAGAAGAATTCATAGCTTTTGAGGCTATATCCTCTGTAAGAGTATGCTTCCCTCGATGGCCAGTAACTGGAAGAGAAGGTAAAAGCTCCTTAGAGTCTTTCACCTCATTTCCTAGATTACTCGTAGAAGTTATTGTATTGCTATGTTTTCCACTCATTTCTAGTTTATTTTCAGAACTCCCTATCCGTCCCCAAACAGAAGTTGCAGTCTGTGAACCAGTACCAGTTGTGGCATTTCTACCTGGGTGTTCACTGTCAAAACCATCAGATAACCTTAAACTACGGTGATCAGAAGCATCAGCATCCCATAATGGTTCGGCTTCATAAATCCTTGGTGAAAGCCTTAGGAGTGCACTTGATGTTTCAGGATGGTCAGTGTTCCACAGAGGCTGATCAGGATCATACAAATCAGCTTCACCAGAACCAGCAGACACAGGCAACATGCTATTCAAGCTTAATCCATCATCAGATGTTCCAGATTTACCACTTTTACAATGTGAACCTTTGCTCTTTATTGACAAGTTTGAAGGAGCACTAACTGAAGGTAAAGGTCCTGTTCCAGCTGGCATTCCCAATAGGCGTGCACTTGGAAGAGAAACAGGTAAATTGAACTGTGAGAGACTCTGTAATTTGCAAAATCAACTATTAGTTACAACCAGGAACAAATCTGTATCCTAACAAAAGATTATGTATTTTATGAATCCCCAGCATAAGTTAATGTAGGAAATATAGCTTGAGAGACATTTCATCATGGCCTTTTCTTTTGATGCACCAACCAATTCACACATGACATAAATCAGTTCAACTCTAGACATCCAAGTATAAACCTATTTCTACCATCCAGTGCAGTAGTGATCACTAAATAAAAAATGACCAGATGCCAAGATCTTTTCTGCTACAGCCCATCAAGCGGTCAATCGTTGATCATGGTTGAATTTGATCCATGAGTTTCTAAAATTGACACATTGAAAGAGTCATGCTGGTTTCCTGTCTTGCGCATTTTTTATAATGTTACTATTAAAAGGCACGCAATTGTCAAATCAAGAAATCAAAGCCAGCCAACAGCCAGCTTGGGAGACACCTGCAAGTCAGGTTTGTGTCCAATCAGGAAAAAAGAATCCTGTGATGACTAGAAAGCACAAGGCATTATTACCCAGAAACCAGAAGCCAGCAGCTAGAAAACATTCAGCTGCCAATCTACAAACAGCAATGAAATGTCTCAAAACTATTTTAATACATAAAAGGGTCAGCTTATGAATCTTACACTCATGCGTAGAGTTAAGCAGTAATGAATTAATAATAAATTGTTAAAGTAATTCATCAAAAAAAATGATAAATTGTTAAAGTATTACAGTATGCAGTATTAGCATAATTAAGTTACAATGATAGCATGAACAAAAAGATAGCATTCTTGCCTCTGCCCCAGCACAGACTAGGATTGTGACAAACAACAAAACAATAGGATCCCACTAAAATGATTTCCAAGGTAGATATTTGACCATTGCTCTAAAAGGGCCAATACCCAATGACGGTCCAAGCTCTGCAGGTTCTTGGGAAGGGCAGATGGATACAGACCTAAACTTTAGAATTTTTATTTTTTGAATAATGTCACTGCTCTAAGTCTTGAATCCATATTTTCACTTTCCCACACTTGTCAGCATGAGATTTTTATCATTGCACTAAGGAATGGCCCCTACTTTTGATCTCACCATACAAAATAATAGCCTCACCTAGGATCAGCACTACTCCTAGATCACATTTAAAAATTGTAAGCACTAACTTTCTGCAGTTCCTCATGTAGCACCTCCCCACCAAAAAAGGCATACAGCATTAGCAGGGGAAAACACTTTACATCAAAGGAAAAAGGATATTCTAACAAAATCGTGGAAAACAACAGAACATGGAATCGTACCTGAACATCCTCAACAACTATTCGATTTACACCATGCTCCATTGGACACATATCCCCCCTAAGACAAAATCCACGCTCCTCGAAGTCTCTACATCGTTGGCGAGGCATGCCAATACTCAAGGAAGGTGGTCTAAGTGTTCCTTGCAAACCAAGTGGATGGAGTGTATCCAGAGTGCCATTAGGCATTCCTGGAATTAACCCAAATGCACCCCAAGATGCATTTTGTGTGCTAGCAGCAATTGGCAGCCCTCTTCCAGAAAATAGACCAGGGGCAGGACCCCATGGAGCCATTTGTGATGCAAAATCAAGTGTTTCCACAGAGCCAAACCTAGAATCATGTTGGTTCCAGAGGCCAGAACTCCTTCCTCTTCCTTTACCAATGGGAAGACGACCCACAGATGTAGATAAATCCAAACGAGTACCAGGTTCAACATGAAATGATGGATTTACTTTTGTCCTCTGACCCAAATCAAATGGAGGTCGAGGCAGTGTCACCAAGCCAGGATGCCTTTTCTCAAATTTTGCAGAGAAGTCTCTTTCTGGAGGAGGACCACATTCTTTTCGAGATTCACTTGACTGAGGATCACTTTCTAGTAATAGCTGTCCATTTCCAAAAGGTTTGTTACGTTTTCTGTTTGGTCTACTTGGAAGTTGCTCTTGTCCATATTTGTCAAAAGACTGAGACCTGGTCTCCCGCCTGCGATGCTTATGATTGCGATCATCATCATCATCACTAAGTTCTTTCTCAGTATCACTAGCATGACCAGATGAGGGAGAAAGCTCCTCAGGCTTTGGAGATGAAACTGTCCTTTCTATTGGATCCTCTGTAATGAAAGAAGAAGATGGTTCAACCTGCTTGATGGTATCCAACCCCTTACCAGATGCTATAATTGAACCATCTTGTAGGGCCTGGAACAATTTCGTGATGAAAGAATCTGTACCTACAAGCATAAGAGAAGTTTAAGTAGTGAAGGAAGAGAGAGAGAGAGAGAGAGCAAGGGACAGATAAACAAATAAAAGCAAAACCTAGAAAATATTAACTTAAGCAAGTTCAGTTAAGTCTAGCCATTCTCATAAGAAAATAGTCAGCAGAAATACTTCAGCAAGATGAACCAAACAGGCTAAATTTCCCAAGGTGACCAAAAATAGTTTTGTACCAGATAAGAGATGAATGGTTAGAAACAGAGAAGATGGATGAGAGGCTCTTCTCCCAACTTCTTCATTTGCTCTAAGGGTTTGTGACAAGGGACCCAAGTGACAGAATGTGTATGTAGAATGACTCATAAACAAGAGCAAGATTAGCCATTGTGTTGACATATTTAGTCACATTAGACAGACATCATCCATTAGGCCCCCCTCCCCAAAGTCAACAAGAAATCCCAAAGCCAATGCTATATTAGACAACAAGACTAGTAGGTTGATGCTTGTAAAGAAAATTGGTTGGAATGGCATTGTTGTGGAGGGAGACTCCCAAGTGTAGTAGGCTGGTTGTAATCATCAGCTAGATCTCCAGGTCTGCCGACAGCTTAGCAGATAAGCTACCAAGAATGGGAGCCAACAAGAATGAGTTAGAATGGAACCAGGGCCAGGTGAAAATTTATAACTATTTGCAAAACTCTTCTATGGGCATTTGTCAACCAATGGGTGTATAGTACTTACTGTCTTGCTCTTCCAAGATGATTGCAGAGTAGTGTTTGTCTCCCACTTTCATTGTTTAATGAAAAGCACAATTTACGATAAAAAAGATATTTATTTGAGCTTTTACATAAATTTAGATTTGGATTATTAGCAAGTCCACTTAGATAGGCTACTTATTCAGGGTTTTTTTTCTCAATTTTAATGGTGTCTTTGAAAAAAATTTGAACCAGCACATTTAACCCCACACCCACTCCCAAAAGAAAGGAATAAGAACAATCAAGTTAAAGGGAAGTAATCTAGATACAACCTGTCAGAAGACAGAAAATTTTAAAATAGATTTCTATTTGAGAAGTATGAAAAATTAGCCTACAAAGTCAGATAGTTTTTGCATAATTGAAAAAAAAAATCTTAAATACCAGATAAGACAACACAAAATCAGTAACTTGGTAACACCTACATATTAATAGCAAGTTAGCAATCCATCAATACCTCCAACGGACAGTTTCATTTCTTGGATCAGATTGGCCAACTTTATAATGCATTTGATAATGGATACCTTTCAATCGCATGAAGAGAATAATGATCATTAACATGAAATTTGAATAGTAGTGAACTAGTAATGATTTTCCGAGTCATAAAAGCAGCAAGAATAATCACATGCAATCACTGCATGAAACATACCCTGGCCAAGAAATTCAACTAAATTCTCAGTACAAAGTTTTTGTAATTCTTTAGTTGGTTTATCCTTCTTTAACAATGCTTCCACGTATTTCGCAAGAATCACAGGGTCAGCCTGTGTCCTGAAAATGCAAAAAAAAAAAAAAATCATCAGAAACTACTGAACTGTTTCAATCACAAATGATGGCATTATGTCAACTTAAACTATAAGCCATGATATGCATTTATGTAGTAGTAAAAACAAGAGAAGGAAAAACATAAAAAGAGAATGAGAATGCTCTGCTTCTTTTTTCTTTCTTTCTTTGTTTCTTTTTTGAGAGTGATAGAGAAAAAGAAAAGGTAAGCAATGCCCTACATAAAAGAAAAGAAGTTCATACATGACAACATTATGATGATGCACAAAGGTGTGGACAAACAGCCCTCCTTATATAACCCCCAAAAAGAAACCCTCAAACAGTGAGCTAGCACTGTACAAACTACAAAACATTCTCTCTATCCCTATTATAGCAAGCCCATCTACCACTATATTTATCTTTCTTCAAATCCACTGAATCTGAACAAAATTAGGATGATAAGGGGTAAGAGTAAAAAGAGCACTGTTGTCTTTAAATTTATTGTTATTGATAATATTTGTAGGATTTGTAAGAGTTTTCCCATTGTATCCAAGCGCATCCATGCATATCCCAAGCATATCATGATATGTATTTGTATCCAAACTTACCGACATGATACTCGATATTGATACTTTGAACCTTGCCTGGAACACTATGTACTCGTTTGTTATGCACTTGAACAATATTTATTTAGGTTATTTAAGACCTCTTTAGGAATGTTATCAAGTTTTTTCTTAAGAAAACAAAAGCGCAGCGGAAGCATGGTGGAATGTTACAATCTGTGAAAACCTTATTTAGTCCTAGGTTACAGTAGAGAAGAAGAAGAAGAAGAAGAAGAAGAAGAAGAAGAAGAAGAAGAAGAGGAGAACAAGAAGGGTTCGGTCAATAGAGGAAAATCAGTCCTCTCTCTAGTCGACCCACTTGTATTTATCTCCAATAACATAGTTACWWGAAAGACCATATTGTCCCTCATAAGTGATGGGACACATAACTTAAACTTAAACAAAACAGACCTTTCACTCTCAAATAGATAAACCCAAATGACCAAAATACCCTTGTTTTGTATACTCTAACACAATCCATTTGTCCCATGTTGGTAGTATGGGATGCTAATGTGAGGTATTCCATATCGGTAAGATGGGATGCTGATGTGGGGTATATATGTGCTTGGGTTCCCTCCCTCTAACAGCTAGCTTTTAGGGGTGAGTTCTCCTAAGGCACATAACAAATGGTATCAAAGCCTACACTATGCCTCCCAATTGCAATCATGCGGCGCAGGCGGTGACGTCAGTATTGCAGTGTTTGGCCAGGACTAGGTGGACTAGTGCAAAGCCAGCCTGCGTGGGCGCCGGGACTGCGAAGTGTGGTGGAATGTTACGACCCATTTGTCCCATGTTGGTAGTATGGGATGCTAATGTGAGGTATCCCACATTGGTAATATGGGATACTATTGTGGGGTATATATGTGCTTGGGTTTATGGGATACTGTTGTGGGGTATATATGTGCTTGGGTTCCCTCCCTCTAATAGCTAGCTTTTAGGGGTGAGTTCTCCTAAGGCACATAACATATATTGTATCCAAAAAGCTATAAGAGATTTACAAAGACCCCTCCATGACCTTTGTAAGCTATTTTCCATCATATGTAAGTTAAAGAGCCATTATATACAGGTTAGTTGACTTTCAAATCAATATATCATCTTGAGCTTCTAGCATACAAGCAATTAACTATTTGTTTAAGCACATAAATGATAGACATAGATTAAAGTAGAATCATATTTTCATATATACTTTTAAGTTTTTATAGATGTGTATTCTTAATTGTTTGACAAGTTTTTTTATAATAAAAAGAAATATATTAAAGGAAAAAAGAGAATACAAAAGAAAAGATAACAAGTTATGACCCAAAAGAAAGAAGAACTACACCTCAGAAACAACCAATGACAAGAAACCTAACAAAACAAACAAAACAAAGACCTCCCTCAAACAACAACCACCAACACACCCACCCCTGACCCCCAAAACCAAAGAACAATCACCCCCGCCTCCAACAGAACAAACAGAGAAAACAGAAACCAGAGAGCAGGCCCAGGCCTCCTCATGAACCACCACACCTTTTTTGGCTTGAGCAAGCTGGTTGAGTGGAAGCACTACCAATAATTCCAGTTCTTCACATTTTCACCAAACATTACCTTTCAGCTTTCTATGACTTGAAAAATGTGAAAGCTGAAAGGCCATGCCATGCCATGAAAACCCTCTTGGAGGTTACAATATGCCTTTGTAGCCTGATTTGTACATCATATCATGTACTCTTTTTTCTTTCTATATCAAGTTAACCTTTTTCTCAAAAAAAAAAAACTCCCAAAAAGTCACTAGAACCTTCAAGAGCACTCCTCTAATTGACAATGTAGAGAAATTATGTGATGGTCTCCAAACATTTGAAGGTGTAAACAGTGAAGGATATTGAGGAACTAGATCAATATAACCCCCTTACAAACATAGTTTTCAAGGCACCAAGGCAAGGCTAGGTGACAGGGGGACGCCTTGTCACCTATTCACCTAGGCGATGGATTTTTTTAAGTAAAAATCACATATCCTATGGTAGTTCCCTAGGTTCCATAACCAACTTTCTTTAATAACTATCCATAATTTTCATAAGAAAATTATAAACTTCATGTTTAAGTCTAGAAAATCAACATATTTATGAGAAGAGAAAGAAGAAAGGAAAGAAAATTCAAAAAAATATAGGGGCTGAACCCCTATTTTTGTTATAGGAAAAGAAGAAAAGAAAAGGTGGAAGAAGAAGAAGAAGAAATGTGTTGATTAGACAAAATTTTAAGTTCTTCCCTTACTTATTGGTTCAGATTTTGAAGTCATTGAGGGCTCAATATAGCAGTTAGCAATGTTTGTGTTGATTAGACCCAAACAAATAAGAAAATAATAAAAAGAAACCAGTTTATAAACACAAAAAAATGAATATTTTTCTTTAATAGTGTCTATTTTATAATTATAATCTCAAAAAAAATAACAATATAAAAGTATTTTATTACACAGTATGCAAAACTGCTTGGCGACTGGGCGAGGCGAGCCTCTAAGGGCACCTTGTCGCCTAGGCGTCACCTTGACAACTATGCTTACCAACCCCCCAATACACACACAACTAGGGGTGCAACTTGGGCAGGCTTAGGTTGGGGTCTTGTCAAGATTTCAATGGACCTGGCCTGAAGCAGGAGAAAATGGTAACTCGGGCCAACTCGAGTTGCACCCCAACACAAAAACACAACATGAACAAACAAATAGTCCACTTTGAGCTTTTCACTTGGAGAGCTATATCTTCAAAAGTTCTTGGTCTCTTTGGAGATGGGGAAGAAAGAATTCTTCATCTTTTCTTGGACATGGTCAGGGAATGTGATTTCAACAAATGTAAATTCTATGTTCCACCTTCAAAGATTAATATTTTTCATTAGATTATTCTGATAAATTGGTTTTCTTTATAAATATTCTCTCCTTTTCATAAGCTATCTCTAGACAGGATTGAGTCATCCAAGCCTTATCCCAACTACATGAATCCTGTTTTGCCATTCCATTCTCTTTAACATCAGATTCATTGTTAAATAGTGAGAGATTAAATCATTTCTTAATACTTCAACTCTCAAGTCTTTTTTGGCCTACCCTAGCCCTTCTAGCCCCCTCAACTTGCAATAGACCACTTCTTCCTACAGGTGCTGTCAATGGTCTTCTATGGATAACCATCTCAATCTACTTTCTCTCATTTTATCACTTATTGGAGCTACTCCTAGGTTCCTCCAAATGACTTCATTTCGGGCCCTATTCTTTCTAGTTTTTCCACTAATCAGCATGCACATTTCTGCCGCACTCATCTTTTAGGACATGCTTTTTCTTGACTGCCCAACAATCTGCTTCATACAGCACAGCTGGCCTTACAACTATTTCATAAAATTTTCCTTTAATGTAAGTGGTATCCACCTATCACATAGGATTTGGATGCACCCCTCCATTTCGCCCATCTTGCTCTAATTCTATGGGCAACATCCCCCTTAATCTCTCCCTTGTTATGAATTATCAAACCAAGGTAACAGAAAAAGGTCACATTTAGTTATCTCTTGGTTTTCAATCCTAAGTGTACCCTGATCTGTTCTCCTATTATTGTTAAACTTACATATCATATATTCTAATTTGATCCTACTTGTTTTAAAACCTCTTGTTTCTAAGATGCTTGTTCATAACTTAACTTTGCATTTAATCCTCCATTTTTTTTATTTCTTTTGAAGGATTACACAACGGGGGGATAGCCCATCCCCCAACCCATAACCCTCCCAACCAGGTGCAGGCGGGATTCGATCCCAACTCTCCACTACGACCAGCAGGAAATCTTACCAACCCGCTGGTTGGCATTTAATCCTCCGCTAGTGTCATCAATTGAAACAATGTCATCAGAAAAACACTATGCACTATGGGACCTCTTCTTGAATATGTTTAGTCAATTCATCTATGATCAGTGCAAATAAGTAAGGGTTTGAGTGCTGAACCTTGGTGAAGACCCATTGTAACTGTAAAAGTGGATGTCTCTCCCACAGGTGTTCTAACATTTTGCACTCTCATATATAACCTTAATTAGGTCTTANAACTCAAGACACGACTATCAACTCTTGGACTAAAAGAGACTCTATGATGTTTCCCAAGCTGGCATGACTCACAATCCAAAGATGAAAGATGACTCAAGGAAGGAACCAGCAACTTCAGAGCCTTGAGAGAAGGATGACCAAGTCTGTAGTGCCATTGAAGAGGAGTAAGAGACAATTGAAAAGCTACTGGAGGGCCACCACCATCAAGGTAATGCAATCCACCTGCCTCATGCCCTCCACCAATCTTCATCCCCGTCTTGAGATCCTAAAACACACAAGAAGAGGGATAAAAGGTAATGGAACAATTAAGTGACTTGGTTAATCTACTAACAGACATAAGGTTAAAGGGGAACTTGGGAACATATA